TTGTATTGTATTGTATTGTATTGTATTGTATTGTATTGTATTGTATTGTATTGTATTGTATAAGAAAAGCATCCATTTAATTTAACAGCTCTTAGTTGAATCAGCAATGCTATATTGTGCTTGGGTGAAAGTTTAACTAAAACTCTCCAAAGTGGAATAAGGGAAAGAGGAAAGGATTTCAGTCATGTACATCTGCCTATCCCTGGTCCTTGGGAATGATTTGATAGGTTGAGAAAAATGCCTAATTCAATCTAAACTTGTGTCTGACTATGTGATAAACCCTAGTAATTCAATCTAAACATTTAGCTGACTGTACGAGCAACCATAGTACTTCAGCCTAAACTTCTGGCTGACTGTGTGAGCAACCAGAAAGCAAAGATAGCACCAATAGTAATAAGTGCCTTGGATGCAATACCAAAACATCTGGGCTACCACTTGAACACTACTGGCGTTGACAAAAATCACCATCTGTGAAATGAAAAAGGCAGCTTTACTTGGAACAGCTTACATTCTGCAACAATATCTTTAACGCTATTAAACAACAACGTCTGCCTATCCCAGATCATTGGAAAGGATTTGGCAGGTGGAGTCTAAATGTCTGGCTGACTGTGTGAGACCCACCGTGAGAATAGAGACCCATTGCCAAAAACAGGATGGGATTTTTTTTCCTTTCACTTTTTCCTCCTCTGATTTGCTTGCAGCTGGACAGGGAAGGGTTACACATGCCTGTTTGAAAAGAGAGAGGGAGGGAAGGAGAAGTCCAATGAGTTTCCACAAGGTAGAGCTTTCCTGCTGAGCTGCATCATTTAGTAAGCAGCACCTCCGCACTCCAGGAGCCGCGAGAGTCCTTCCGCTTCTCAAACCTGCCAAAGTGTAAGTCCATTTGGGAAACTGGAAAGGGAGAAGGTTAGTGATATGCACGTGTCTTGGATTGAAAAGTTAGCAAAACAAGAATTGGCACTTGGATTTCCCCTTGTATTTGTTTGAGTAGGATTACCTTAGAGCAGTACTTTTCAAACTTGGGGTAAATTACCCCAAATTGGGTAAAAGTGATTTACACAAAAATCACAACATTGAAGCAAGGGCATTCTGTTAAGCAAATAAAATGACTTTTTGATAAGCACTTTTGGGCAATGAAAGAAAAAGTTTGGGAAGCACTGGCTTGTAGGAAAGATAAACTGTAAATTGTTATTTTTGCTGGGATTCTCAAAAACGCAATGTTAAGCATTTAACTCAGTTCTTGATTCTAGTCCACCACCTGTGTTCCATCTGAACACAGCCCATAGTTGGGTGCTGATTCTTCCTGAGACCTAGACAAAAGGATAAGAGAACATCTTTGGAAGAATGGTAGTACATGCCAGGCTGTTTGTGAAAATCACCAGAGCAGAAAGGGTGAAAAGAAAAGTTTGCAACTTTATGGGGAAAGCCAGCAGAAGTGTGAAGTTCATAAGAATATAAGGTAAACTGCAGGAACAAAGAAAAGTGCCCAGATGGGCCAGCATGCTGGTTCCAAAGGAGTCAAATTGTCCAATATGGAATCCTGTTTACAGGATATATTGTGGGAAGCCATTCTATATTTGTTCTACTTGCCAGTACTTAGAGGTAGACTTTCCACAACCTGGAGGCTTTATTTATTTTGAATTCTTGATAGAGCCCGCATTCACATTTAGTGTGTTTAATAAGTAACTATTGCCACCTCTTGGAGACACACATTCCACACATTTTGCATTTGTGTGAAAATACCCAGAAGATCCAGGCCATTGGTTTGCTAATGGATTTTTCCAGAGTATTATTTGAACTGAACTTTTAACATCACCCCACCCTCCAATTCCTTCCTTCCTTCCTTCCTTCCTTCCTTCCTTCCTTCCTTCCTTCCTTCCTTCCTTCCTTCCTTCCTTNAAAAGACAGTAGAAATCCTTCAACCTCCTCAGAGTGAAATAGGCTTGTAAGGTTTTCTTGTTATAGTCAAAAAGTACCGTATTTTTCAGACTATAAGATACACTCTCCCCCTCCCCCCAAAGTGGGTGGATATGTCTGTGCGTCTTATAGAGCAAATATTGCGATGGGAGAGGGAAGGGTTGGTGCGGCGCCGATTAGCTGTTCTAGGTGGTGGGGAACGCCACCGCTGCCTATCGTTGCCTATCACCGCCTATCGCTGCTGCCACTGCCCATTTACCACCAATTGTGGCGCTTGGCAGTGAACAGGCAGCGGCAAATGGGTGGCGGGGATCGGGGTGTGTGATCCTCACTGCTGATTGGCAGTATTCCAGGAGGTCGATCCAACCGCCAATCAGCTGCTCCACAGCAAAGGTTCCAGTGCTGCCCAGCAGCGGCAGCAGCTCAGCCTAGTTGACCGGTGGTGGGTGCAAGAGAACGGAGCCCTGACGAGCCACGTGCTGGGGCTGCAATAACTTGTTGAAGCTGACCAGGCTGTTTACTCTTTGCTGCAAGGACATTAGCCAGATGAATAGTGGATGGATGCTGGGAGGCAGAGGGAGTTTCCCCCCCACCCTTGTTTTCCTCCTCTAAAGCTAATGTGCGTCTTTTGGTCTGGTGCGTCTTATAGTCTGAAAAATACGGTACTTTTAGCCTTCCTCTGGAGTTGATTTTTTTGGTCTGGACACCCTATTGGGGCTTACATTTAGTACATGAACCAAAGTCAGTAAACTATGGTTTAGTGTATTGTGTGAATGCATTTCCAGAGGAGATCTTCTATGGGTTGTCAACTGAACTGGCAGATAAAGAAGCAAGCCAGATCTGAATAAATATTTGCAGACTCAAGTAACCTGGTGTCTTTTTGAAATAGCTAAATCTACATAGTTTCTCCTTGAGGAACAAAAATTGAACATTTATCTACCTTCAGAGGTTGGAGCACCATGCTCCAGGTATGGGATGGGAAGATTTCATCCTTCTGCACCGTGCTTCAAATGACCATCCAATATATCTCTCTTATTGTATTGCCCTGTAGAAAAGTAGAGGAAACAGATTTTGAGTTTCCAACCCCTGATTCAAGTTTTCTGCCGCAAAGGATCCCAAAACTTCTGGAAGAGCAGCCAGCCACCAACATGGGATCTCTATTCTTTCTGGCATGTGTTTGTTTGCATTCCTGCTGCCCACCATGCAGCACCAAATCAGTTCCAAGGCGTTTTCTCAATAAATGATTAATTTTGGGCGTTGGAAAATTAACTTTCTACTTCTAGCACCCCATGAACTTGTGATTCCTGTTACAAATTTGCCAAATCTGTGGGGAGAGGAGAAGATGGGTGGGATTTTTTAAAATATACCAATAAGCGTTTAGGTATAAAGTAGTCAGCTTTGATCTGAAATACCCTTTGGATCCAGTCATAATTCATATGTTGATTGCAGGAGTGATTAAATGTTATCTTTTAATTTTTTTTTACTGGAGAATAGAAGCCAAAACAAGAAATAAAAGTTTTAAAAACTATTGATTATAATATGAAAAAAAAGTATATAAAATCTGATTATATGTATTGTGCTATCCAATTACAATATAACTATTACATTAGTATTAGAATTGTTAAAATCTACAACGATCTACCAGAAGGCAATAATCAATAGAGTCAAACTATTCTCCAAGGCACCCGAGTACAGAACAAGAAGCAATGGGTGGAAACTAATCAAGGAGAGAAGCAACTTAGAACTGAGGAGAAATTTCCTGACAGTTAGAACAATTAATCAGTGGAACAGCTTGCCTCCAGAAGTTGTGAATGCCCCAATACTGGAAGTCTTTTAGAAGATGTTGGATAGCCATTTGTCTGAAACGGCACAGGGTTTCCTGCCTAGGCAGTGGGTTGGACTAGAAGACCTCCAAGGTCCCTTCCAACTCTGCTATTGTAATGTAATAATCGAATGGTAAACTACAAAAGCAGAATATACATGCTGATACGGAAAGCTGCAAAATTATATTATATAGTCATGTTATTTGTGTTTTTATCTGTTTATTTTTGTATTTTTTCTTACCCCCCCCTTTTTTTTCCTTCTTTTTACTTGTGGTTTCTTAAACTTGTAAATGTTCAATAAAAACTATTTAAATAAAATAAAATAAAGTAATTTTTTTACTATTTAAATATTCAAAGATCATTTTTCCATATTCAAATGCTACTTGCTTGTGTGACCCAAGGCTCCACACTTTTGGTGGTGGTGATAACATCTGGAATTTTGAGGGCATAATCTGGGCAGGGCCATCTTAACAGCATTATTACCCCCAGGCAAAGCAATGTATTGGGGCTCCTATGACAACTACTCACAGGAATAAAAATGCAAATGGTCGATAAAATTAAACACATATTTGCATGTTAGTATTAATTTAAAAATGCAGTAAAATGTAATAAATATGTTGCTGTATTTATATGATACAAGGTGCATTGAAGGGTTAATATACAGAGATTAGTAAGGGGCCCATGGGCAAGTGCCCATCAGGCCAGAGGTGAAATCAACCTACCTTCGCTACTGGCTCACTTCGCTCGCATGCACCACCTCTGTGCATGTGCAGAGTGTCAAAAATGGGACATGATGACGTCTGGGTGGGTGAATGGAGTTTGCTACCAAGTGCGCCTGTAAAGGTAAGTAGAACAGGGCGGGGGGGGGGGGGGGATCTGCTGTGCCACACGATTTAGATTAGCTAGAAAGCAGGCAATCCGACGATTCACAACTGATCTACTGGTTCGGGCGAACTGGTCCAAACTGGTAGCATTTCATCCCTGCATCAGGCCCATGCCTTAAGACAGCCCTGATTCTGGGCACTTTGTGAAAAAGCTACTAGCGGGACATAACTATCTACAAATGTAGCTGTTTCCCACTGAAATCAAGAACAGATGTTGTATCACTTCTTCTAAATTTGTCTTCCAATTTAAGGATGCTCTCTTCTAATCCAGTTGACTGTTTTTTTTTTGAAAAGATGAAATACACAGTCCATTTTTTAAAAAAAATTCAAAGACAGCTGATAGGATTTCTGAGGCCCAAAATCACTCATGGGGATAAAAAGGTGGATGGCTACAATCAGCAACATATCGTGTTAAAAAAAAATTGCAAACTGTAGAAAGAAAGATTGACAAAAGGAAGCATGAACAAAGCTGTCCTTGACCATGTTAAGGAACTAACTTTCTGACATATTTATCAAAATGTTGCTTTATACAACATAATTAGCAAGGATAATAATGGGGTATCAGCAGGTTGTTTAATTGTGATTCTTTAGATAAGAACAAGTGGCAACTAATGAAAATGTTTTCAGAGTTGCTGTATTTATATATACTGTGTAAACTCACAGATAAGCCCATTTGTGGATAAACTAACCCTCAAATTTTAACCAAATTACCATGAAAAATATACTACCTGTGCATGTAGTCAACCTGCATCTCTCATGGTATGCTGGTTAAAAATAGGAAGGCCTCCTTGTCTGAAGGCTTATCTGTGAGTATATACAGATATACCTGTACTTTCTCTATCTCTATCTCTATCTCTATCTCTATCTCTATCTCTATCTCTATCTCTAT